AATGGCGGGAAAGGCGGCGGTCGCGGAAGAGACCCAGCAGTCTACAATGACGAATTCCTTTCAATATTTCATAAGGTCTATAGACTCGAGTCACTGTTCTCATCCCGACGGCATCGATCGCTCGTCTGCCACTACTAAGTGGAATATCTTTGATAAATCAAGCAAGTCATAGTCGAGGTTTTCCTACTTGGCTTGTCGCCGACGAAGATGATTCCTTACTTGTTTTCCACGGTGACACAGTATTATTAACAATATAATTAACAATTTCTAATTATATCTATAGAATTTATTAATGAGAAGTATAATTCGAACATAGTTTCAAGCGTGACTTCGACGTCTTTACTCTAAAATTGTGAGCAGCTGTTACGTTGTTACTGTGATAACATGAGACAGTTTACGAGTGCGTTTATATGCGCGCGCGCGCGCGCGCGTGTGTGTGTGTGTGTGTGTGTGTGTGTGTGCGCGCATGAAAGAGAAAGAGAAAGAGAGAAACATAATATGAAGTTCAGTATCAAGTGCGTATCACGTTACAAGTCACCTGATCTTTCTCGTACCGAGAAATCAAACTCCTTCGATTAGAGAGGTTGTGATCATTTGATTCGTCTTATCGACTTGTGGGAAAAAGGTACGAGAGGGTAAAACAAGATAAATCATTCGTTCGAAACATCATTCGTTTCAATCATTTCGGAAATTTGTTTCGCGAATACAAGTATATACTTAAATTTTGTCGTATCGAATGTATTTCGTGTTAACAAATTAATCTGACTCGTGATAAATTCCAAGTAAATGTCTCATTAGAGTATACGTTCCGTCCGGATCGATCCTATCTTTAAAAAGGGCCGAAGGAGGTGGTCGCCTTAAAATACATTTGGGACGCGCGCGTAATCGCGATTGCCGCACTCTCGCGAGGCGCGTTTGTTCGCGCGTGAGCGCACGAGATGACGAGGGGGAAGTTTTCTGCAAATATTACAAGAAGACTGCGTTGCGCGGTGCGGGAATGCCCACAGCTGTTCCTATAAATAACAACCCCCGATTTGATGCAACCACGCGAGTGCTCGCAGCGGCAATTCTGCATCTTCTCTCGCGAAAGCGCGGCAACTATGGTTATTGACCCCCGTGCAACGTGCGCGCGGCCCGGCACTATTTCCGTTCGTGAAATAATGGGTCCGAGCATCGTAACGTGTGATTTAAACGCGCGCAAGATAGACCAAGGAGTCCTCATGTTGGTCGACGTATCGGTACAATAGATTGCACGACGGAAATTATTTATTGAATATTATTCGTGCAAATGACTGAAGAATGTTGAATTTCTTATTTGTCTTTGGATATACTGTTTTAAATTTCTTATCTGAATAAATTTCATCATTTTCGGAAAAGGTAAAGCGTGCAGAATTTTATTTCGATACATTTTTTTTTACATAACTATGTGTTGATGAAAAAAATCGATAAAAACTCTAAATTAGATTAAACTTTCAACATTCGGAAATCGACCGATAAAGTATAAAATGATGCAATTTGACTGTAACGTCGAGCGTAGTAAATGAAAATTACGCGAATGGCGGAATAAGAGCAACGTGCGTTCGCATTAAAACGATGTATTACGATTGAAGATTTGATTATTGCACATGGCACGGATAATTACGTTTTGCCTGATGCACGGCTTTATTCGTGGCGAGTAAAATGCAATAAAATATATTATACAATGTGAAGCGGGGGATTTATCCGCGGATTACATTATCCATCACGGTCGAAAGATTAAATCTCCATAAATTATTCGTTGTACCAACGATATTCATTAACGACGCGGTTCAAATAGCCGCGAAGTGTTACAACAGTAATGTGCGGTAAGCGTTACCGCACGCGTATCTATCTCGAAAATATATTTTTAATATAAAATTATATTATTGTATTTCTATAAGTACTTTTCAATCTAAATGATTAAACCGCAGTGCGGTTAAATAATGAAGGAAGTAAATTTTCTTACATTCATCGTCAATAAAACTTCGATTATAGTGCTGATCCACTTGTTAGAAGCCAATATTAGAGATTTATAGTTTCAGGTAGATTGATCGATCGCGCGACAGCAATTTTCTACATATATTGCAATAGCGTGTGCCGTAATAACGTTTTTATTGGTAGGAGATCGCTCAGAACCATTCTGCGTCTTATACTGAGGCTTCATCGGGAATTGAGTACCGGCTCTTGTGGATTTTCTACTTGATTTACAGAGCGGTGAGGCGTACGCTGGCGAGAAAGGGAGAGAGAAAGAGTGAGGAAGATAGAAAGAGAAAAAGAGAGAGCAATCGATGATGTCACGCACTTGCGGTTGATAGCCGCAATCTCTCTGCGAGGTGCGCCGGCACGATCGACATCCGAGATTCGGACTTGATCGCGGCCGAGGCTGCGTTGCATCGCGCGTTTTATAGCGCGTTTTACTGCGTGTGCTGTGGCTGACCAGTGGTCTCTTTCTCTCTCTTTCTCTCTCTATACGTCGCAGGTCCTCCTCTCGCTTCTCTGGTCTCCTCTCTTTTCTCTGTAAAGGAGGCACGACCAGCGGAGCAGGGTCATGGCCGGACATCGTCTGCCATACTCTCCCTCTCTTTCTTTTGCTCGATGTGCTCTACACCCACACTACATCTGTTTTACTCGCGTACAATCCATTCTCCTTCTTCTCGCTGCACTCTCGTAAAGTTGGATTTTACTGTGCGCCGAATATGAGCCATCGCGATCTCTCGAGAAACGTCCTGTTCGTTTCTCTACGATTAAATAGATTTGTAAAAGACTTTTTTAAACGAAACTTACGAGTGCAGAAACATTGCCATGCAATTTACGATAGCGTGTGTCACAGCGTATCTATTTTCTAGAGGCTATTACTACTGGAAGATATTTTCCAATTGAAAGTATTGACATCGTTAGAATTTCAAAAAATAAAGAAAAATTAATTTATGTCAATAATATGTACAAAATATTTATGACATTGTATGAATAAAGGATAAGGTCGATTGGGTATTGATAGGAAATCGGAATAGCTACGAGTAGTGAAACAGTTATGGGTATGTAATAGCCTTAATACCAAAGTGAAGAATTTCAAGTTTGAATCCCGATAAGCTTTGTTATTTCCGTCTCTTACAATATGAAAATTACTTGAAATTAAATTGTGAAACCTATATTGCAGATTTATTTCATGGATAAAATATGAGAATTTTGCGATCTTTCGATTGTCTTCATTTCAAAATTAAGAACACATTTTAGACGCATTTTGTTAAATTAATAAAAATAATACTTGCTGCTGCTTTTCACTGATGTAACATTTGCCAGAAACTTACATCACGCGATATTGTTATATAAAAAAAATGTACATACACACATACACAGAAACATATATATGTATATATTGTATATATTGCAGAGAATGCCAGAGTGGTTTTGCGGCTTTTGTCGCGCTATCACTTTTGACGTCAAAGGCGTACGCTCGAGGCATTGCGCAAAATTGAGAATCAAGGTGTCCAGATCTCGCTCCTTGGACTGGACCAAACGAAATGTTTCGACGATGATTCACGGCGGGACAATGACCTCGATCAATGATATCATTTTTGTCAATATGATGCAATATCGAGAGAAAATAAAAAATCTCCCAATTATTGGTAATTAATTTCTTCGAAATAAGGCACTTAAAAAAAAAATACAACTCGTATTTTACCTTTGCAAATATAATTGAATAAATATGTAATTCAATATAGTTAACTGATTTCAAATTTTATTTATTTAATAAAAAAGAGATGGGGAACACAAGTATTAGCTACTATTAGCATTTTTGATGTTAATTTTACAATAAGAGTGCAACTTAATATCTTTGCAACATATACATGACGTTTTCCTTTCTCTATGAATTATTTGCGACACGTAAGAAATTAATCATTCTAAACACAAGAATTAAAATGTCACGCGCGGATCCCTCGCGTATTTCTTGTGCTGAGCCGAATTGTTCCCCATTGCAACCACGTGTTGCACTACAGAATTCTAGCCGAGATGCTATCGACCAACTTTACTACGCTTACCTATCTTAATCATCAGCGAGACAGTTTCAATAATCAGATAATTTTGAGGTTCTAAGTAACATTAGCAATTAACCACAAAGCTAATACTTTGGTTACTTATAAAATCGTAGTGATCTGTGAATAAATCAAGGACTTTTTATTTTATTTTTTATAAACTGAGCATTTATTTGGACACACAATTTTAATTATTTCTAATATAAAAATAATATTTATAATGTAAAAATAATATTTGATTATTTATAATATAAAAATAATATTCCTTATATATTATATATAATAATAGACTTTTTCTCATTTCGCTTATTATCTTTTCATTCGCTTTTTTGCGTTCGCTTGCTATTTTATAATACCTAAACGTCTAAACAATCTAAAAAAAATAACATATGCTATGCTTTATTTCAAATAATATCGCATGTTATTAACAATAACGCGACTAACAAAAATATAAAGAGATGATGTGATTCATCATAATCTTTTCATCACGATATAATCGCCGTAAATATCAATAAAAGAGTAAATTCTCTTTTATGATTATCATTATTCTCATTTCTCTAAGTTATTATACTCTTCTAACTATCGTATCGATAAATCAAATCTTACATCAATACATTCGAAACAATCAAATCAGTCTAGTTTTATTCTCACAGTCGAGAATATCGATATTTTTTCGAACTCTTTTCAAAACTATCGCTCAATTTCAAGACAATCGCAATCATCTATCGATTATCTCCGATCATTTTATCATTAATCTCGGAGCGAGCGCACGCTCGGTCAAAAACATGGATTCATACATGTGACGACCTGTCAATCATTCCTCTATATTTTGTCTATTTTCTGTCTCTTCTCTATCTCTTTCTGTCAAAAAGACTAAATGTGGAAATCTAAGAATCATATAGTTTTCGCTTACAGAAAATACAGTACGTATAAATGCGCACAACTCACGATTTCGCGACGGATGGTGGGCGTTCCTGCTCCGGAGGGCATTGTGCAGGGTTACATACAGCTGGTACATCAGCTGCTCCTCCGACGACGTGTTCTCGTCGTTGTTGGGCAAAAACGGTATCGCCATGGTGTCTTCTCTCGTCTATTCTACGATCGGAGCAATTGCGTACAGTTGTAGCCTGAGTCCAAGCTACGTGCTCGTTACCACTCCCGCCTGGCCCGAGGTTGACGCACTGTAACCGAACCAAGCAATGTCTATTGTTGAGTTCACTGTTCACTCTCTACGTCTTCACTTTTCAAAGACCCCCCCCTCCCCCTCGTTCGGAGTCTCTACCTGATATTGTTTTGTAAATCGTTAGAATTATAAACGCGTTAGAAACGCTTAACAGTATAAATTTACCGGCTTTCAACGTTCAACATTCCGGATCGCACGTGGCGCGCGCGCACGCTGCAGACTCCCGTAAATGTTATTATTCTACCTTTCTAGACGATTCCCGAAACTAAATTTTTCTCGAAGTTCTGATGAAACTGTCCATGCACCGAACGTTCTCGAGACAAAAAGAAAGAAAGAAAAAAAAAAGAAAGATCACTCTCGCTTTAAAGCAATCACCTGCTGAGAATCGCGGGGATAGGAAACGTGTCCTTTGTCACGGTTGTTGATTGGCTGCTCGAATGCACTGTCGATGGAGCACGTAGAATTTTCGTGACTCAGAGAGAAATTTCCGGAACACGGACGCGTGGATCGTCGCGTTCAATGTCCCCGCAGTTGTCCGGTTGACGGCTGCACCAGTTGGTTCACGTCACTCGTAAAGATGTAACACATACAGGGGGTCGACCGTGTCGGGTCGCCCTATGGCTCCGCGGATCACGAGAGTATCTCGCGCGAACGGTCACGTGAGGTGTTTCGAAAAATCTTCAGGATTGCACTATGACCGACCGAAATTAATTAGATAATTGCACGAGCAAATATAACACCGCTGGCCACTTTGGCGCAATATATCACACGCGTGTATTTGAGCGATGCGCGTACAACAGGGAGCGGTGAGAAGACGAGAATACGAAGCTACACGAGATCTCGACTGAGCTCAGGATAAACGAGAAACACGTCTGTTCTCCTCGAGGTCTGGCGTGGTAATGATTCTGTGCTTTCACAACCAGCCACGGTCTGCACGTTCTGTCTCACAGCAGCAACCGGCTCTTCCCTCACTCCGTTTTACCCGCGCGACCGATTGGTCCAACGGTGGGGGTGCGTGCGCGCGCAACCTATGACGAGGAAATAAACTGGTGGTGAGGGTAGCCGATTTACTTTGGGGTGGGGAACGCGCGAGAAGCGTGACAATACATTGTCTTGCTCTTCGGACGCCGCGAGTGAGCTCCGTTTGAACGCTAACATTTACTGCAATCATGTTTTTGCAATCGTCAGACACCACGGCGCATCCACGTAGCATACGAAGAATACTCTAATATATCAAAATATTGCATCTTTAGATTAGAATGTTTACGCTATTAATAAGAGATATATGATTAATAACATTATATATGATTAATTACATTATGAAAAAATATTAAATCAAAACAGATTTTTTTGTCCTACTTCTTTTTACCTCAATTTTAGGTATCAGAAAATTTTCAGCATAAAATCTATTGTAGAATATTTTGTAACATTTCTCTTTGTGATTTTCGCTCTTTTGAGCATTTCATGTTTTTTTTTTGCTTTAATTTTTCTATGGCTTTTCGTGCAGTAAATGTTAATATGAGAGGGACTCGGTCCGCGCTTGGAAGACGCAAGTGCAACTGAGTGGCGCGCGCGACACAGTCTCGGGACACAGCGGACCGTGTAGCATGTAGCAATGGGATCTCGACGAGGGAGAGAGTGAGAGGCCACGCACACACGAGCATACGGCGTTCGCATGCACCTCGGAGCCGTAAAGGCGCGTATGACACGACAAAACGACACTCGAGCGCAACTGCGCAGTTTACGCGACCAAGTACGAGCTCCGCACAGGGGTGGGGGTGCAGCCGCAAATCGGAAACGTTTACTTTACCACCGTTAAAATTAAACTCCCAAGAAAACTGAAAAAAAAAAATGTTACTCTCATGCGAGATATATCATATCTTCGTGTCTCGTTCTAATTTTAATTGTTCAATTTTACTGATTATTCGATTTTATTTTAACAAAATTCTTCGATATTGCAAAATATTTAAATGGATACTGCTCTTGATTCATACAACGATAAATTAATGTCGACGATATTTTCTTGATATTAACGATAAATATTAACGTGATACCATCTTCGATATCATTCACTCGTTTATAGGTGATAATAATAATAACAGACGCTCGAGCGATAATGAATATCGGTCTGCAGTGTCAAAGATCAATTTTATCGTTCGAATGACCACACGCCGAATTAATGAGCTCGAACATACTTATAATTAATTAGGAACGGATGAGCGAAACGAATACGAGACAACTTGCACATGCTTAATTTCCAGATAATTTGTGACGATGCGAACGATATTCGCGGCATCGCTACGGTTAAGTTCTTTTTTTTTGTACAATCGATGAATGGGCGAAAAAACGGAGAAACAAGAATACAATACGTTGCCATTGCGCGCGCTGATTCATGATGCATACGATGCACCGTGCGCCGGCTACACGAGAGCGCGCGACTACATAAATAAATATGAGCATATTGGCTTGCACGAGGGCATGCACGACGCGCGTGAAAAACGAAATCACACATTCAACGTGGATCAAGGAAAAAGTCATTGTATTATCATTAATGTCGCTTTATCTATTGTACGTAAAATTCACGCAAATTTTAATCGCGCACTGTATAATGAAATTTAATTTAGGAATGTTTAACACGTTTGAAGATCAAATATCACAAAAATGTATCACGCATTCTTTCTTTCGCTTTATCTTTAGACATCTAATTTTAACACTTGGAACACAGAAACGCAATTTCATTTGAAGATTGAAGTTTAATCAATCGACGGAAAAAACGGAATGCACTTCTCTTCTACGAATTCATTGATGCATAACGTAACGTCGTACCGGCACAATAGAAGCGTGTTAAACAATCTCGAAAGCGTGAACGTGAGCACCACTTGAATCGATAGGCGATCGACGTCTCTTTGGCGTGTGCATGCAAGCATGAGGAGAGAGAAAGTGAAAGATAAAGAGAGACAGGGAGAGAACAACAGATTAATGTCAGAAGTGGAGTGCATGGAGAGACGTTGTCATTGGATATCGGATGTGGGAGTTAAAGGCCAGGTGAATCTCGGCGCGTCGGGGATGACGTTACAGAGAGATGACATTACCACTGTAGAACGTGGAAACCGGAGTCGATGCGTGTGTCGAGATGTGCGCGTCCTGGCCGTAGTTGGACGAAATGGCGATGTCGCTATCGATGGATGCTTATATCGGCTTCCATGCAAGAGATATCGCGTCGCGTCAATAGGTGCAATGCCGTCATTGATAATTTTGCGCGCGAAAATTTCAGCGAAGGAGCCTTAAACCAGAGATTCTCGCGGTGGATCAATACGCGAACTTGATCGCGCGTCTTACAGGAACTGCTCGTTATGAGAAACGCCATTTCTACGAAGTCAATTGTCTTAATGTACGTAAAAGTTAAAGAGGCGACTTTAGAGAGGGACGAGTTGATTGTGCCGTCATTGTACGAGAAGTCGATTCGCTTAACGAAGTTAAACTTAGTTGCGAGAACTTCGGAGAGTATTTTAGTGCCATGCAATAATTTTTACGTATAAGGAGTTTCAGATGTTACAAAATAAGGAGAAAACTCAATTGGTATATTACGAAATATTGCACAATGTATGTAATAATAAATTTTTAAATGTTGATAGATAAGACCCAGTTATCACACGTCTTAAGTAACAAGTATATGTCTTTTTTATAATGAATAGATAAGTAGCTAAAATGTATTTCTATTTAAAAAGAATATCGCAACATAGAAAGAGTAAAGTTGTCATTCAATTTATTAAATAATTGTATGTGTTATAAATCAAATATAGAATTTAAAATCGTTTAAATTTGTTCTTAAAATTAATCTTTATTTTCTATTAATATAATACATTAATATAATACATTATACTATTAATATAATACATTAATATTATATAATACACGTTATGACAAAATGTGTCTTATCAGCTTTTGATATCAATCTCAATCGTATACCTATTATATAAATAAAATCACTTTTCGAAGTAATAATGAAGTAAAAATATAGATGCACAATCATAATAGCGAAATCTCTCTCTGATTAAATTTTTTTTAATCTGCTATATCTGATATATTCTGCACTTTCGTATTCTTATCAATTTTCAATTTTCTTATCGATGATAGAACTTGGTTCTATCATCGATATTAGAATTAAACTTACATCATATTATACTCATCTTATATGGACTTGACTTTCAAGACAACCTAATAAATAAATTCTCGGGGTTGCAATTTCTGTCGTCGTGGAAAAATCATAATCGTACCTTGCCAAATCTATTAAACATGGATGCAAATGTCGGCTTAATAACTGCCTTCGAGCTCCATGTAATTGGAATCACTGTCATGGAGACACTGGTCAACATTCGATTAACGATCTCCGTATTTAGCGATTAACGATTCGCGATCTAGAAACGTCCGGCAAGCAATCCTTCCTTCCTGGTCTTTCGCAACGGTGTTGCATCGTTTTATTTCAATATGAAGCATCACATCGTGCTGCGTAGCATCGGTCGCTGTCCGGTAGCGACCGAGATTTAAAACCGGTAGCACCACGTACGCGCGCCGTACCGGATTGTATATTTTTAGAACGACCATCGCGATCGCGTGGGCGGATGCTGGTCATCGGTCCGGGAACCTGCGCTACTTTGTTTCAAACTGCACAAATCGGACAGGATCTCGATTCCGTCGAATCGGCATAATTCTTCGCGATATAATTTTAGTAAGTAAAAAATACTTCGTGAAGGAAAGCAAATCGTTTAAAAGCCTCGCGACATGAAATCAGCTTTGCTAAAGTCCGCCGTGAAACGAGCTTATCCCGTGATAGTAACATGGTAATAACGTGATAATAGATTATAACGCCGTGCGTATATAAATTACGTCGTGTTCGCAACTAGGCGAAATACACTATATCTTCATTTGTCGGCTTCTGCGGAATTGTAACAGAGGCTCCTTATTCTGTGCATATGCATGTCTATGTATTAACGAGCATGCCCGTCCACATCACTATGATGATTTAAAGCCTCTGGTTTAATATTCAGAGATGCTGATGAAAGCGTAAAACCACTTACGCGTCTGATTCTAATTCTAATTCTAATTCTAGTCGTTCTCTAAACTGTAGCACACGTATCGATTGACGTAAATTAGACCACGTAAACAAAATTGATTACTATACATTTCGAGAAGTGCTTTGCGTTTACGTCATGCTTAATTTTTTCAAATTGAATCCACGCGAGGTAATCAGAGAATGATTTACTTGATTCATACCTGTTCGATCACGAGAACGCTCTAAGGAAGAAGAAACGTTCAAAGTTTAAGGTCTCTCTCAATCAACAAAGCGCCTTAATTATCGAGGCAATTATCGCGGCGGGAAAGAGCGTTATCGCTCGTCGCGCGACATACGTCTACCGCAAACATGTTCGAACAAGTTTCATAGTCTCGTAGTATTACAGACACACTGCTGTCATCATTTACGAGGTTAACGGCAAGAGCAGCGTTATTAAACGATCCCTGTAATGGGTGACTGTCAAGAACGAAGATATTTAATCGCGGTTACGTACGAGAAATTCCGTTTTCTTTTTTTTTTCTTTCTAACATGCTATCTTATATATGTATTTCTTTTTATCGCAACAAGTGAATTTACTCTGTAAATAAGGTGTAAAAATTATCTGTATTTCCCCTCTCTTTTTTTCGTACGAACGCATTATATGAACGACAGTGTGAGAAAAATGCACGGCATGAGAATCATTCGTACGAAAGATGACTCAACTTATCAGGTTGATGTTACGAATTGCATTTCTTATCATTTTTATCGGGTCATTGGTACGTTCACCCTTTCCGGCAGTTCATCGAACCAGATTTCGCACGCTCGTT